TCTTGTACGTAAAAATGTATTTTCCTTAATGCATCCCAGACAAAATGGTACAAGAATCTTGCCTGATGAGGCTCTAACTGTTCCATATGATATCAGTAATTGTCAGTTACAAGACTATTTGCCTTCATAAACATATGGAAGCAGTTCTGCAGGAAAAACAAGTTACAAAAGTATGAGAGCACAGCGGATTAATTTATTTAAGGCAACAGATGCAACGTTATGCAAGGAAGAGATAAAGCAAGAAGTTAGTCAAAGAACTTGTCAAGCAATGACAAAATCATTAGACATCGATTTTCACATTCTAGCTGCTATTAGCATCTTTCCAAAACCACAAAAGCTAGACAAAGAACCAAGACATTAATAAAAAATAATGTAATTGCCAGGTATTCAATTAAAACAAAATCCTAGTGAACCGCTGCACCACCAAAAAAGCCAGAGGAAGTTTAATATACGTTCTTTCAGTGACTTCAGACAAACATACATAAAATCTATGCAGATTAGAAAAGTGCCTTACTTCAATTTTTCAAAGTTCTCTGGTTCCAAACTCCATATTTCTTCAACTTGTGCTCCCCTACAACCTGAAAGAAGGAATGATACAGGTTTCTTCAACAGCCCCATTTAAATAGGACACAGCTAATAAAGACAGACACACAGAAGAAATATAGTAATATTTACAACTTGTATGTGCAGGTTATGGAAAAGTCTATTTATCAGCTTTAATGCATGCTCATTAGAAAACCAAACAAGACAGGTCAAGAGAAATTATTTCATGAATATCTCCTGTGTATGGTGATCTTTATTTCTTTATAAACACAGCTGCTTTTAAAAAAGAAGCAGAGGAGATGAAAATATCTTTGGTCACCTCATGCCCTTTGCTCAACTGTAAATAATACTGTTTTTAAAGATGCTGTCAGCTTGTCCAAAGCAGAGCTTAAAAAAAATCTACCTCCAGAGAAAGACCCGGTAGTAGACTGAAAACACTGTAAGCAATACACTCAAAAAAGACATTTACATAATAGCCCTAGAAGTTCAAATCTTGGCATGTTGAAGATTAATCTATTAGTTAAATAGAAATGCAAAAGGAGAAACATGCCTTGGGCTACACATGTGAGATGCAGATGTGACAGAAATTACAAATCAATGTAACCTAACATAAAATCATTTTGCTTCTTTAGCCAAAATCCTGTATAGACTTATTTGCTGTTATAACCATATAACTACGGTATCTCCAAAGACGTTAAATTCAATTCAACGTAATATTTAGTATTCTAAAGGCCAAAGAAGCCCATTACTGGTTACCCAGCCTACTGCCAAGCACCACAGCTCAGCTTGGTCACACACAACCCTTCACCGCAACATCCTCCCTCCAGGAGTCTCTGCAACCGAGTCGCCTGTCACACGACCCAAACACAGACCCTTTCCAGACGCTGGTATTCCCTCCTACGAGGCATTTACTTATATTAAGCTGCCCAGCAGAAGCGTTCATGTGCCATAGGCGACAGGACGGGCTTCGCTGAACAGCGCGTCCCGCCACTGGCCACCCACAGCCCGGAAACCGAGAGCACAGGCTACGCTGACAGCCCCCTCAGCCAAAAGGCCGGCTGCTGCCGGCAGCAACGCGGGCGCACGGCCTGGGAAGCCGCACAGAGGTTACAAGAGTCGCGTTCACTCTCAGCGTCCGCCTACCGCCACGCTGCCAGAGCATGGCCTCGGCCCCAGCCAACCTCCACCGTTCTTCGTGTCCCCTGCCGCCCCCGGCCGGGCCGCAGCCACGCCGCGGCTGGGTTCAGCCTACTGGCGCCCTGTACCCTTCGTCGGGGAAAGAAGGAGCACTCCGCTGAACCGGGCGAGCGGGCGGGCTGGTGTTGCACCCGCGCGGGAACAGCCACAGCCACCAACGGGGCCGCAGACACAGAGCGCCAACGCCTGCCCACCAGCGCGACCCCAACACCCGACCCCAGTCCTGCTTTTCCCTCACCGAAGCCCTTGATGAGCTCCGTAAACACGCCCGGGTCGCTCTCCATGAGGCACCACTCGCCAGCGCTACTCCCTCCCGACATGGCGACAACCAGCACACTCCCTTAGGCCCGGCACCGCCGCCGGCCGGTTAAACTGCGAGGCCGAAACACGCCGCTCCCTTCCCGGCAGGCCCCGCGGCCCACGCCGCGCCTGTCATCGCTATGGTGAGGTGGGGCGGGAGCCGGAAGTGGCGGTTGAGATTGGATCCGGGGCAGCCGCTCGTTGCCGGTAGCGGCAGTGCCCCTAGAGGGACCACATCGGTTCGTGCCGCGCCTCCACCCTGTGGCTCCGTTCCTGTGGCGGCAGATGGGCGGCGGGTAGAAGGAATCCCCTACGCGGCGGAAGGAGGCGGTTCCGGGTCGGCGTCGCGACTCCATCCGGGCACTGGGCTGCGGCCGTGGGGGGCGGTGGGCGCGGCCCCATCCGGGTCCCGGGTATGCTGTCAGGACTCGGGTGGGGGGGGATCAGGTTGTGGAAGACGCGGAGCTGCCGGTGGCTGGAGGGACCTGCCCTGCCTGTGCCCAGCTCCCGGAGCGGGTTCTTGCTTCCGCTCTCCTTCCCAGGCTCCCTTCTCGTCGCCCGGCCCCCGCCGCAGCTCCCTGGGGCTGCGCTACTGCTCGGCGGAGGAAGCTGCGCTGGCTTGGGCGGGCCCTGCCCCGCGGCCCCTGCGAGGCCGCGTCCTCTCAGGCAAGTTGCGCCGCCCGGCTGGCGCTGAGGGTGGAGGGATCGCGCTAGCCCCGGCGGGGTTTTGGGTTTGGCGCGGGTGTTGAAGGAATGTGAAGAAGCACCCACTGTAGATAGCCACCCCCTGCTTGACACCTGGGCGGTGTAAGCTCCTTGAGGGGATTAAAGGGCACATCACTTGGGCTCATTCGCCTGCTTCATCGTTACTTGTTTTCGTAGTTATAGAAACTGATAGCTAATTCAGAGGTCTTTGGGTATCAACTTTAGATGCTTTTTCCTCATAGTTTTGTTCTGTGTCTGCAAAGTTGCCTTCTACCACCGGTCAATAAATTTTTTAAGCAAGTATGCTTTTAAGCAACTTGTATAGTAGATGTATTTTTGATCAAGTGCCTGATTCATGTAGTCCGGTATCTCCTGTACTGTCATCATACCAGTGAGCATACCGTTTGCGATTTGCAAAGTGTTCTCCAAACATTCCTGTTTACATAGAGATACTTATGTTGTGGAATATGAGAACTTGCGTTGTCAGAGCTCTGCTGTAGTGCAAGTGTATTTTGTTGCAGCCACAGCTTTGTAAGATCTTTTATGCTCCCCAATTCTTATTTTTCCTTCAAGATAGTGGTGTTTTCCAGTATCTTGCATATATTTTTTTTTGGCTGATAAATAAACTAATGGGTGCTGACTGTGATGCCAGGATTTTTTGTTTGGGTTTTGTATATGTAGTATGAAACATTACCTACAGTTTAATGAAACCAGCCAATTGAAATGTATTGAAATAAAATGTATTTAAACATTAAAATGTACTGATATGGTATTCATGCACAGCGAATACCACCCTTGTTATTTTCAGTGTATTTGCATGCTTCAGATGTCAGTGAAAAAGTCGACTCAACCATGATGTGTATTTTAATGGGTTTGCAGGGAAACATGATTAGAATATTTAAGCACTAAGAAAAACAGCTGAACACTGGTGCTCAGAATAATGCAATGAAAGATATTTTGCAGCTAATTTTTAACTAAAATCTGAATTTTAAACCAGGTATCAACATATGGCTTCTATTTTTATGATTCTAGCAGCATAAAGAATACAGTGGGAACACTGATTATCATTCATTATGTAATTCTGGATCACTGCAGGTAGGCAAGAGTGGAGGAAAGGTACATTTCTAGTTGCTTGAAGTGAAAGGGAAATTCTGTGTCGCAGGGAAAGTAGGGAAGTTTGCAAATCAGCGTGTTACTTAAACTGGGGGGAGGATCTGTCTACATTACTGATATCTATTTGTGACAGCTTATGAAGCAAAATGGCTTTTATATTCAGTATCCAAACAAGCATCTCAGAAGTAGATAGCTTCAGTGCTTAAAATTTGTTAGGTAGATTTCTTTGGATTGGCATTTCTGTGTGCTCAGACTTTAGTATATGCCTATTTTAAGGTCTGTATGTGGTTTGATGGAGTGGATTATTGGTGCTTTTTATGTTTAAATAGGACCCCTTGGTGCTGTTTAGTGGTTTTTTTTTGTTGTTTGGTGAGAACAGCAAACACTGAATTTATTCTTGTCATATTAATGTTTTGGAGACAGTGATGATGAATTTTCTTCCCCTTACCATGCTGATTTCATTTCACCTCCATTTATTTCGGTTTAAATGTTACAGCTTGAATTTTACCATGGTATATGGTCTCCATGTAAGAGCAGTGTTGTTGCTTATGAATATTACAGCTGAACTCTCTTGCAACTTAAAATTGTATAAAGACCTGAAAGATTGTGAATTTTTGTGTTTTTCTGTGTTGTTTTCTTGGATGTCACTTAACAGCAGCTATTTGAGTCTGTAATAATTTTTTTTTCTTGAGCTGCTGTCAATTGTTAAAAAGCTGTTGTTTAAGCCTCTCTGAAACCCACCATATTTAAGCTCTACAAAGCCTTCTGACTAAACAGTTTTTCAGTATTTTAGTTCTTTGTTTTAGCAGTGTGTTTCTTCAGTTGATTGGTATTACCAATTCCACCAAAACAGAGTAGGGCAAGATCTGTTTTTTGAGCAATTTAGTATGCAATCCAAAAATCTACCGAAGAAAGTGGTGGCAACACTTATTAGTGGCAACAGGGCATAACCGCAACCATGTTTTCTGTGTGCCATTTATTGCGGTTAAGTAGTTTCCAAGTTATTTTTAAGGAAATATATTTGTCACCATTGTAACTCAAGAGATTTTTTGTTTGTTTGTTTTCCCCTAATACATGTTACTGCACACGTAAGAGTATACTTTTATTAAATTTATGATGGAAAAATTGCAAGTGTATTACTTTGCTAAGAACTCACAGGAGGAGAGTCATCAGATTTTCACAGTGTTCTTAATGGGCTTTATGATTCTTCCACCAGACTTCTTGGAAGTGTAGACAATGGAGGACGAGGAAAAACAACTCCTGAATGAAAAGCAGGTGCCAAACTGTGAGAGTGGTTATGTGTGGCATGTCACCGATATGAATCGACTGCAGCGTTTCTTATGTTTTGGTTCAGAAGGTGGTACTTATTACATCAAGGAGCAGAAGCTGGGCTATGGAAATGCAGAAGCTTTAGTAAGACTGATTGAAGAGGGTAGAGGTTGTGAAGTTGTTCAAGAAATAAAGACATTCAGTCAAGAAGGCAGAGCAGCAAAACAGGAACCCCTACTTTTTGCTCTTGCAATTTGCTCACAGTGTTCTGATGCAAAAACAAAACAAGCAGCATTTAAAGCTGTTCCTGAGGTGTGTTGCATACCAACCCATCTCTTTACTTTCATCCAGTTTAAAAAAGATCTGAAGGAGGGCATGAAATGTGGTATTTGGGGCCGTGCACTGAGGAAAGCTGTTGCAGATTGGTACAATGGAAAAAATGGCATGGCTGTTGCTTTAGCAGTTACAAAATATAAGCAAAGAAGTGGTTGGTCTCATAAAGATCTTCTGAGGTTGTCCCACCTAAAACCTGCCAGTGAAGGTAATACATTTTTATTTATCTGAAAATACTGTGTTTTAAACCTTTTATACTTACTGTAAAAGTATTTAGTTTAGGAAACCCAAGTACTGATGACTTCTTAGTGATGGTATCCTGTAAATTGCACCTTAAAACCATGAGTGGTCATATCAGAAATTGACCTGATTATCGTCAAGTTAAACAGAGTTTGTTTCTTCTTTTTCTTCTGTATGTGGAGAGAAGAGAAAATAAGACAGTTCTCTCAGTTTGTTCTGATTTGCTTACAAATTATGAAACAACACTTTTGGGAAGATCTGTTGATTTCAAATACATAAGGCTCCATTTAAGGAGAATAATACTAAAACAGTCACTAAAACTGCTGCTCTAAGTTGCGTGTGACTGACAGTATTTATAGCTGGTTGGCAGGTCTGAGAATGCGATCTGCTAACTCATTGGCTTGCTAGAATTGCTAAATGCCAGTATAAAGGTGGTAATCCTGCTTGGAAAATATTTTTATTTTCAATAGGAATTGGTATAGTCACTAAATATGTTACGAAAGGGTGGAAAGATGTCCAAGAAGCTTATAAAGACAAAGCAGTTTCTGCTGAGACTGAAAAACTCTTAAAGTATCTGGAGGCTGTGGAGAAAGTAAAACGCACAAAAGATGAATTGGAAGTTATTCATCTAATAGAGGAATATGGTCTAGTCAGAGAGCATCTCCTGACAAACCACCTGAAATCTAAAGAGGTAGGTGAACTTCATTGGCTTTGTAATCTCTTCAGAAGAACACTTTTCAGAGTCTGAAGTCTACATTTCCATAAAAAAGAGCCCTTACATTGTTTGTCAAGTTATTTACCCAAGTACCTAATTTAAAATAATAAAGATCTTAATTTAAATTGTATGCTTATTATTTAAAAATACACTTATTTAATGTACAGATGTAAATTCTTGTAGTTTTGGAATCTTACCTCTTTTTTTTTTTTTCATTCTCTTTGTTTGTGCACAGGTTTGGAAGGCATTGCTGAAGGAAATGTCCATTTCTGTATTGTTGAGAAATTTAGGAAAGTTGACAGCAAATTCAGTGCTTGAACCACGAGGTTCAGAAGTGGCAATAGTATGTGAAAGACTGAGAAACGAGAAACTGCTAAAAAAGGTAAGAATGTTTCCGTAATCAGTGCCAGCCTTTGTGGTTCTTAATCTCTTCCTAAACTGTAGTTCTTCAGGCAACCTCTTCACAAAACAAAAGGGATGTTCATTTGAGGAAATGTGTAGTTTATTCTTTAAAAAAAAAAAACTGCAGCAGAATACTTGCTGCTGTATTTTAAAAGTTGTACTTATAATTTCTGATATGATTCCCCTCCCCTCTCTATTTCTGAAACTATTCTACAAATTAAGTATATTGACAGCTAGGGTCTTTTCTTAAATTGGCACTGTAGCAAGCTTCTGGCTTAAGATAACGCTTGGCATAAGATAACAACTGGAATTCATTGGAGGATTCTGGAAAGGGCATAATGTCATTTACCAGTAACTGAACAAGTATCAGTTCATGAAACAGCTGTCTAAAGACTGCAGGAACTCTTCAAACTTAACAAATCTAAAGGAACAATATAATAAACCAGATATTTGTAGTAGGATCTTATTTTTAGTTTCTTACCTTTTTTTTTAATGGAGTTCAGATTTTCAAAAACTGCCTATGGATTTCTTTTACCTATAGGGTAGAATACATCCATTCCATGTCTTGGTTGCATTAGAAAGCTATAAAGCTGGGCATGGAAGCAGAGGAAAGCTTTGGTGGCGTCCTGATGAAGACATTTTAGAAGCCTTAGATGCCTCATTTTACAAAACATTCCAGGTAATATGGTTATTCAATTTGTTAATACTTTTAAGAAATCTCTGTATTCTGAAAGCCTCAAAAAGGATCAAGAAAAGTTTCTTGGGTGGAAACAATTTTGAAACTTTATAACAAAAATCCTAGGACTTGGGATTTTACTAGGAACCAAATCAAAATTTTATGATACATTCAGCTTTTGGCAACATTGTTTTGCTAATGTTACCCCAGAAAGAATAAAAAAAGACCCATTTCCAGGTCAAAAGCAGAAGAAGGAAGAAATGAATGTACTAACTATGTGTACCTATATTCTTTTTTTTTTTTCTTTTTTCTATTTTTATAGACAGTTGAACCAACAGGAAAACGCTTCTTACTTGCAGTTGATGTCAGTGCATCAATGACACAAAAAGTTTTGGGCAGTGTACTCAATGCTAGCACAGTTGCAGCAGCAATGTGTATGGTAAGGCATTAAACTTCTTTTATTTATAATTATTTGCAGCTTGAGCTGCTCTTTTGATACAAAGGTGATCTAAAGCTGCTTAGATTTTGGAAGGAAACTTACCTATAATATATTTGAGTACGAAAAATGTGACCTTGTGTCTCACTGGTAGTCCAGATGCTTAAAGCCAGTGGCAACCAAATTCAGGAAGATCAATTTGAAGTTGATTTCTAGTCTAAATGAAATTGGTCAAGGCTGCTTTTTCGCTTATCCTAGCTGAAAATACATTCTATTTATTTATTGCTTCAAAAGCACTCACTGAATAACACAGATTGGATTAAGAAATTTTGGGGTAATTCTTGTGTGCATTTGAGATATCTGCATGTCCTTTGTCTCACAATCACTTTCCCCTCAGTTTGGTATTCTGAAGCTTCTTGTGTATTTATATTATAAAGGAGTTAAACTTCTGTTGCTGTTTAAAAATGTTTACTGCTTTATGTCAGGGGAGAGAAGGAATATGGAAGTATATTTAGAGTAATTAGAGGAGTTCTTCACCTTTGATTTTTACAATGTTTATTTGCAGTATTACATTTAAAGTGACTAGTGAAGCATTAGTGCATATGAGAAGCCATGGTAACTTGAATGAAAAAGGATCTGTCATGTTGTGGGAATGCCTTGATTCAGACAGTAAAAATTCTGAATAACGTAACTAAATTATTTTTGTCTTCCCCTTTCTCAGGTTGTGGCACGTACAGAGAAGGATTCCCATATAGTTGCCTTTTCGCATGAAATTGTGCCCTGCCCAGTGACGACTGATATGACGTTGCCTCAAGTATTAGTGAAAATGTATGAAGTATGTAAAACAAACCAAACCAAAAACATTAGGAAATAGCTGTTACTAACATCACAGTTTAGGTGTCTCAGCAGTTACATTGTATTTTCTTTATATTCAGTTGTATACTGTGTTTAGTCCATATTTGTGTCTTTTATTTAGAGACAGTCCAGCAAGTGTCATTGTTTCAACTGCTGCATATTACACATTGCAATCTAGAACGGCAGTGTTAGGTCACAAGGAGTTAGGTTGAAAAGAATATGTAAAAAGTCAAGCAAACAAGCAAAACCAAAAAACCCTTGGCAAAACTAGTAAGGGAACTGTTGTTTAACAAAGAAGCCTCTGTATGTGATAAAACATGGAGCCTCCATAAAAATAATTTTTCCATAGTTTACTACTTTTTTGTATTATTCTGTATTCTATGTTTGGTTTGGTTTTTTATTTATTTTTATTTTTTTAAATTTATTTTAAGATTCCGGTGGGCACCACTGATTGTTCCCTTCCAATGATATGGGCTCAAAAAACACAGACAGCTGCTGATGTCTTTGTTGTATTTACCGATAATGAGACTTTTGCTGGAAATACTCATCCTGCAACAGCTCTTAGAGAGTACAGAGAGGTAAATATGCTTCTGACTGTTTATAATTGATGAACACAGTACAAAATAAATACCAGTTCTAAAAATGTCTTAAAAACTGAACTAGTTGTGGCTTTCTTCAGTAAATAATTATATATTGCTTAAAACTGATATATTCTGCAGTTAGGCAGAATTAGTGCGCATTTTGCACTAATTGCATTTATTTAAAACCTCTGAATTGCTAAAAGGATTAATAATTACCCCACCTTGCTCAGTGTACTGCTATATCAATGAAAATCTGTTTGGTTTTCAGAGAATATATGAGTTTCTGCATTCTGTCTGTAATAGATTAAGTTTCTTATAGTCCTTACAGAAAAAAAACTTGGCTCACAGAATTAAATTGAACTTTGATGTCTGCAGTAGATACCACAAAGTTTAAATGAAGTAATGAAGATAAACCTGTATGGAAGGTGTCAATAAGATGAGGTGATAGCATCTTGTGAAGGCAGCTCATTATGATCTAAATGGGCTACTCTTAAGCTGTGCAGCTTCATAATTTTAAAATAGGACTAAGAAAAATATCCCCTTCAAACATATTGCTGTTAGAAACTCTGGTTTAATCAGCAAACCATCTTTTATGCTTTTAAGAAAATTTTTAAACTACAAGAAATATTTTTTGGCAAGCATGTACACATGGATCTTTGTATCATGTCCACCTAGTTGAAACGAATACCAAAAATCTTTAACTTGCCCACTGTGTTTCTGTTTTCTTAATTAAGACTAGCTCCCATTCCTAAATTTGTTCTTTAAAACAGAGTTCTGTACTCTTAATGCCACTTGCTTTGCTTTACCTTACAGGTGATTAACCTTCAAATTCAGCTCATTTAGCAGAATTTTTCAGGCCACGGTTGTTGTATTTGTTCAACCACAAAAACATACTCTCTGACTCCTATTAGAGGATTCAATAATTATTATTGAAAGTTCTCTCTCAGAATGAACTCCAGAATAGCAAATGAAATGTTTGATATCTATCTGTGAATAATCTGTGAATCTTAGTATTGCAGGAAAGTTGTGTACACCTCACTGCAATTATTCCCATTAATTTAAATATACCTACTGCAGGTTAAGTATGATGTCAACAGTCTGCAGTTCTGGTTATGGCACATCTAGTTCCTATCAGTATGCCTATTCAGACAGTGGTTTAGGAGGCAAGATAGCAAGATTTGGCCCTCTGTCTTGTTTAAGTTACTGTATTATGTGTGTTCTCATGTTATTTTTTCCCTTTTTTTTTCCTTCCTCTAGCAAATGGGTATTCCTGCTAAGCTGATTATTTGTGGAATGACCTCAAATGGCTTTACGATTGCCGATCCAGATGACAAAGGCATGTTGGATATATGTGGCTTTGATACAGGAGCTCTTGATGTTATTCGAAACTTCGCTTTGGATTTGATCTAATTTTCTAGGCATCTTCTCTTCCCTGTGGGTCCATTGCTGGCAACAGACTACACCCTGGGAACTCCTAGCCAAATATACTTCATTAGAATATGGCACATTAAATACATATCAGTATGTTACCTTTTTGTGAAGGGAAAACAAGAAAAGCAGATGAGAAATCTCTTTTCTCTTTTTTTCCTGTTCTACACAATTTAAAGTAACAGTGGGAAGTTTGATAAAAGTAACTACAGGGTTACACAATATATAATTTAATTTCATTTATAATAGATTATAAGTACTGAGAGACTTTTAATTCCCCCCTCCCTGCTTCCAACCTCACCCCTCCCTTCCCCCATTGCTGTGGAATGGCTTGTTTGCAAGAAGATACTGACTTACTGTTAGGATGGGGCAGAAAAACAAAAAGTGGGGTTAGTATTTTTAGTAATGTCAGTAAAGTCAGTAACTTCATTGAGAGGGATTTTTCTTTGGTCTGTTTGTCAGTCTTTGTGTTTTAAACAAATTACTAAGTTTCAACAGTTTCCATTGTTACACTTCAGATCTACAAAAGTATTTTCTGGCACATACGAGACCATGTGACTGTGACGCAGTATAAAAGCTGTCCAGTGAAATTTTATACTGATGAAACTGAAAGTGGAAGAGTTTATGCTAATCTTTTTCCTATCTAGATTATCATCCTAGTTTTCAGGAGTAAAGTGTAATTCTCTGTAGGTAAATTGAGGTGTGGTTTCAGAAGCACTATTTTTAAATTAATATGATTTACAGGAAGTTCTAAGAACTCTTCTTACTAGAAAAAGACCCTGGAAATGGCTTAGAAGCTACATTCAGTCCATCTTATAACTTCAGAAAGCAACAGCACACTTTCAGTGAGAAAGATCAACAACTGCATGTGTCTTGGAGTGCTCTTGAAAGCTGATTGGTAACAACCAGAAACAAAAAGCTACATTTTTTCCAAGACAACATATTCAATGATGCAGAAAAAATCTTCCTAACAGGAGAGTATTTCATTTTTTGAAATCTTTTTGTAGATTAATATCACTTCTGGTTTTCTTAAATTAATTCAAGCTTACATTTTTCAAAACTACCTCCACTTTATAGTGACCAATTCTAAAAACTTCTATGAAATGTACAGCTGCCTCTTTCATGTTCTCAAAGTCTTGCTTGGGAAGTGGTTGAAACTGGATTTTTTTATTTTATTTTTTTAGTTTAATATAGTGTGAGTTAAGTAAGGAGAAAGCTAGTGAAAAACTTACCACTTCGGAACAGGAATTAATAGCAATTCATGTGTATATGTATGTAATTCTCTGTGGTTTTGTATATGTGTGTGTAGGGGGGAAGTTAAAAGATCTCTTTAGTAGGTCACAATCTTAGAAGATGGGAAAAGTTTTTAGTGATGCTTTTACAACTTCCCCTAAGACATGCACATGTCAACCTCTTTTATGCTAATTCTGGCTGTTTTAAACAGTGAATTTGATGTTAATTTATAAAAATAACCCAGTTGTGGTAAATGACATGTAAGACCATATTTGTCTGCCTAAACCCCAAGCTTTTTAATGTAAAATTCAAGTTCATATTATACTTTTGATACTTGTAACACTCTTAATTATGACTCACACATATGGATTATAAATTCAAAGCTTGCATTCTGTAGGATGGATATCCCTTTTGGTGCTAAAATGTGAGTTTACATGTTACTGAAGGTATTCTGCTAAATACTTACATGCTACCTTAATGAATAAATCATTGAGGGAAGCCTTTTCTGACATTAAAACCGTGGCTTAAAGAACTGATGGTAGGAACGTTACCTTTCCATGGACTTCTGAATTATTGCTGCTCTTATGACACAGCTTGACAAATACAGGACTGCCACCAGCTTGTCAGGTGACCTTGAGAAAAACAAGTGTTCCTAAAAAGGCTGAGACATAACACTATGAGTTTGAAGATTAGCCATTTCTTACAAAAAATTTCTTAACCGCTTTTAGTATCCTTTCTAAATAAACACCATGAATATGGGAAGTAAACTCGTTTGGTCAATAACATGTCAATAATTATTCTAAGTAAATGCGCTGATGTTTTGGGGTTGGATTTGGTAGTAGTGTGTTTGAAATTACACAATAGTCAAACATCTGATAAGGTGTTTCCTTCTAAGCTAGAGATGTTGAAAATAACATAGATAAGTATCTTTTGCAAGTACTTTTTTATTATTTGGAGTAGTATTTGTGAAGTCATAGGAAATATTTTGGATTAAATATAAAAATAAAAAAACAGGTATTTCAAGTAACTTTGTGCACTTAATTGCATAAATTTACTGCAAGCGAAAGATTAGAGTAGTTACTAACAGATTGAATGAACGGTTACAGTAGTGTTGCATCTTTGAAAGCAGTCCAGTTGAAAACACAATTACTTGAACTAGAGCATAAGTTGAGATGAACTTTTCAGTAGAACTGATAGAAAATGTATCTCCCTGTATCTGTTGACACTGGATAGCTATTCACCCTGTTAAAGACGGTCATCCGTGCTGGAGTACGTAATATGCTCCTAAATATTTACTGTGTCTTTGTATTAAAAAATCTTGTTAGAAATAGAATACTCTGAGTGGTTTGATTACCTCATGTAGAACTAGCACCAGTGAGATCATGTTGTCATCTGCTTCTCCTTTAAGATTTTCAGAGAGAGGAAACTGAAGTAAATGCTGACAGCTGAAACTTTATAGTGTGTTGACCTTTGTTTCTACTGGTTTTGGTTCGCTTTCATTGTTATCTTACAATAAGGGTCATAGAAGAATGATGCTTCGTATTCCTTTTTCCATAGACTGGATCTTTTTTATCTGCCCATATACTGAATTTTAGGGGATAGTGTGACTCATTTGCCATAACACAAATTAGTCCTGATTTTCGTCTTCAGTTATTAGACTGGTAATTGATACAGTTCTAAAATGATATCTGGCCATATAAAAAGGCAGTAAGTATTGTAATGCTTTTAAAAAGAGAGAGAGAGCAGTAAAACAAAGTTGCTGAGCTTAAGCATTAGTTTAGTGTATAATAAATAACCTACTCTTTCACCAGAGGAGACATGGACTCTTTCAAGTTAATAGTGGTGTTTGCGTTGGAGGAACACCTTGACTAATAAAGCAAAACTGAGGCTATAATTGTGCACTGCAGTTTGCCAGTAAAAACTGAACAGGGACAGGTTTAAAGATTTTTCATTTTACTGCCAACCTTAATTAAAAAAAAAATGTCTAAATGCAGAGTGTAACTGTAGAGTGGGTGAATGCAGGTTTCCTGGTACCTAGCAGATCTAATAGGCTTTCAGTTTGACTGCCATTTCACTGTGACACCCTTAACAATTCTTAAGTATTAGATTGTTACGTCTAAGACTGTAATGTTCTAGCACTTTAGCTTTAAGAAAGAAGACCAGTTCCTGGTTGGAAGCACAGCAGAGGTTAAAGGTTCTTATCTTAAGAAGGGCTGTAATGAGTGAACATAAAAGATCAGGTTTCTTCATGGAAGGGATAAAATCAAGATACAATGTGGAGAGGGCAGAAGAGGCACTCAAGATTTCTTAAAAAACTATGCAATGCATACATCGGCATTGTATAATAAATTGAATAAAGATGGGAATTAATTTTTCAAAGAAATAGAATTTCATGTCAGGAATTTTAGACCTACAGCAAGGAGGAGTGTTTGGGATACTTGTAGAATTAGTGCATACACAGTATGGGATCCTTACCTACAATCCTGTGTTTACAAACAGGGATGTCTAAAAGTAGGTGTAGACTTGAAGTCGGCAGGACCAGTCTAAGTGCCGAGTCTGTGAGGGCCACTCTCCCTAAACACCTTGCTGCTTAAAACCACTGTCAAACCTGTTGGTTAAATGTGAATCGGGGGGGGGGGGGTGTTTTTCATTGTTGTTGTTTAATTGTGGACCATAAATGATTATGCCTTTAAAAGGGTATTCAACGAAGTGTATGTTTTTGGCTTATAAAATACACCAGCATTTTTGGAAATGTATTTTAATAAAGGCTCTGTCTGTAAAAACACTAGGAAAATATTTTTTGCAAGATGCTGTGCTGCTTAATCATGTACCTGGCTCAGCCACCGTACCAGAAGCATCAGTTCCATTTATTGTGTTTCTTGTGTTACCTTTTTGCTTCGCCCTTCCTTTTCTCTGCTAAGGTTGGCTTTTTTTCCTCCTTTCCCATCTCCTTGTTGCCTTAGGCCTACACTTGGATCTCTCTTCACATACAAGGTGTCGTCATTTCTTTTGCCTCTGTTCTTCAACAGCCTTGCTGTCGTTGACCATGCTGAACTAAGTAAATTACACCAGAACCTATGTCATAATATTTATCTTACTTTTTAAAAACTGGATATTTTTCTTTCATTTGATTATATTAATGTCTAATAAAACAATTTGCTGTATCTTTATATTTTTTGGTAAAACTTTGTGTAAAGATCAATGACAAAAGTATACTTTGGTTATTTGCAAGAATCCAGCATCTGCCTTTGAATGGCTTTATTTTTATGAAGTAACCACTTAAAATTGTTTTTTCAAATTTAAAGCTCTTTTCTAGAACTAGTTCAGTGGGTTGGAGCTTTCCATTCTGTTATATGCAGAATTAGGGAAACATTGCAATTAATATTGCAGACAAATGGGCAGCTTCTTTGCAGTAAAAATCTTTAAACAATGGGCTGTAGAAGTAAACCAAAGGAAATAATTGTCTTGCTTTTGCTTTTTTTTTTTTTTTAAAGCATTTACTTAGTTTGTAGGGTTAATTTTGCTACTTGCTGTAGCTCACAATAGACAAACACACTGTAAGTAAGATGGTTTAGTAACTTTATTGCTGGAATGGTAGAGATTTTATCTTATCATGGTCCAGTAGAGTGTACAGAATTGCAGAGTCAGTTACAGGGGGAAAGTAAAACACAAGGACAGTGTATTACAGATGTGCTGCTCTGAGCTAAGATGTAAGATTAGCTAATTTCAGCAGATGGTTTGGTGTCTTTAAATACGTGTGCTTACATTGGGATTTATAATTTTGATCCCGTAAGGTGTGGTTTCTTTAGGTATTCATTCTGACTTTAAATACATATATTTGCATTTATATATGTGGTATGTTGAGAATTTTACAAATGCTTCATTAAAAAATAATATAAATACCTGTTTTCCTAATGTTACAAGTTTCTTAAGCACAACTAGTTACAAATAAAATGTCTTTCCTGTTACGTTCTCCTATAAAAGTGCAGTTCTACTCTTTAAAAATAATTCTCTATGAAGAAGCAACAGATGGGTACATTCACAGCTGTATCTGCTTCATTCAGTGATTTGATGTTTCCAGCTTTTCAGGCTTCTTCAGGAGCATGGTATATGAAGTGGATGAGCAGCTTTGTCCTAAGTACAGATTCTTTTGGTAAATAAGTTTTAACATTCAGATCTCAGAGCAAGCATTATTTTAAGATGAACAGCTTTGTCCTGGAGACAACGCTCAGGAAAATCCACAGGAATTTTAAATTACTATTTTTTATTCTCTCCCCCTTTTTCTTTTTTTTTTCCTTTTCCCAGAGTAGGACCACACTTTAACTGCCATATCTTGTTTAAATAACTTAAACATCATGGCTTTGTGCCAACCAATAATCACTGCACTGTCTTGCTGCTACTTTCTATGAATTGTTACAAAATTAATGAGAAATTATTTGGATGTTGAGCCTTAATATGCCTAAAAAGAAACATAATTAACCCTTTGAGTGCCTTAGGACATATCTTTTTTAACAAGTGGGCACTCACTTGGATTTGCAGGCATACAGCATGCTTTCTTATCAGCTGGAATAGAGTGTTGGCTTAAGTGACAATGCCCTGGGAGTTCTGAAACTTAGAACTCAAAGGGTTATTTTAGACTACTGTTTTGGGACTTCCTGGTTTGTTGGTATTCTGGGTTTTGTTTTGTTTCCTTTAACAGGGAGCAGAACGAAAAGGTCTTTGAAAAAATCCTTTGTATACTATTATTTTTACATGATGGACTTACCAGGTTTCAGGTGCAAAATTACTGTTAATCTGAGAAAACATTAACTGGCCTAAGAATTCTACACAGAGGAAAAAGAATACTTAGTTACCACCACATGTGCAAAATAAATTGCTTTATTAAGTACATATTTAGGGAGAGAGGCACATTTGTGTGTGTTCATCATAACGAGTGTGTCCTTGTAAACAAAATTTTAATAAGGCAATGAAACTAGGAAAATACAGTAAACCACAGTGATAAAACCAACATTTACATGTTTAATTAGCCGATTAATATGTTAAAAGATGCACAGTGCAGCCAACTGTATACTAAAGACTATACAAATTACGTGGTTTAAACTTCTTTCAAACCCCCATCACAAAAACGAAGCTGTCAAATTTAAATGATACTTTTACAGTCCTAGTTATCTGGAGTTGAAGATAAATGTGACCTTTTTTCTCCCTTGGGGGGAAAAAAGTAGCTTAGGTGCATAGTGCTGAAAGCAATGGTAAAAACAGGAGTCTTACAAGAAGCGAGTAAAAATTCACTGACTAATGTTTTGATTCTAAACTGTGCACCTGTAGTAGTGTAATGGTCCCTTCTACTGAAGAGTGGGATATAATTTTCTACTTGCATATGAACTTGAAATAACCAAGAGTCTTGGCATTGGTCTGGCTTTGGATTTGCATTGTACTGTAACTGTTGAATTTTAGATGCTTTAGGCATTTAACTGCAAGTTCACATCGCTAGTAAACTGCATTCTGACTGTAGAATTCAAGAACTAAATAAATTCTACGCATATCACACTTATTTTACTTGGTCTTAAGCTTCATAATAGCATTGGATTGATTATAACGCAAGTTGTAGTTGCAGAGTTTAGTGACAGTGAGCTGTCTGGCTCCCCTAGAAGCTGTATTTTGTCATATTTCTGAATGACTGTATAGACTGATACTTCATAGTGCAGAAAAAAGATGAAAGACATGACCTACCCTTCAAACGCTGCAAGAATCTTTATTCCCTTTTCTCTCACAACTGGACATACAATTTCATAGCTAGATGATCAGATGCTGATATGGAATCATATGGATATGGAAGAGGCAGACATGCATACACAGTATCACTACAAACTTATTTTGCTTCATACTTTCATCATTACTACAATTTGACATTCAGAGAAGAATTTACTTTAAAAGAACCATTAAACTGACCATTGGAACAAGGCTAGAATGCAAACTAATCTGCAGCAGAAAAAAAACAGGATTCCTCTTGTACAATTAATGCTTCTCTGAAACATGGCATCAGCATTATAACAGCAATAAAATGACATCATTTTGTCACACGTAGAGCCCCGAGAGTTACACAGTGGCTTTGATCACCATTTTGGTTGTAGGAAAGCTGAGGCATGTAATTTGTCAAGTCCCTAAAGCATCTGTGTCAGAAAACGATCTATGATTTGGAAATCCATGGCTTGAAGCTGTTGATTCCAGCTGATGTAGCATGTATCTATGATCTTGTAAGTTGCCTAAAATTCTGTTATACAAAGGAAGACTAAGCTGAGCTAAGTGGCTGACTGGGTTTTACTTTTCACCTGACATTGATGAATTAAAGGCAGCAGTTTGCCTTCCTCATGAAGCCTTTGAGTATCTGTAGCACCTCCAACAAAAGACCCATTGACAAACACTCTTGGGACCTATCAAGAAAATTAAAATTATGTTAGTTACTTCAATAAAAGATAAAAACCTAAGCGACCCCACATGGACTGTGGTATACACACAACAGTCGAGTTCTTACATATGCATATTTAATACTACTGTACAACTCATACATTTCTGTAATATTTACAGAGATCGGAAACTGTTCACATGCCCCTCAAAAGGGGCATAAAGTCAGTATATGGGAGATTGTATTAAAATAACTGAGTCAAGTGAGACTATATAAAATTAAGAAATTACAAGGTGTATATACACCTATACAAATGAAAACTGACTTTGATATCTCAAAGTGGCACCCTCAGGGTGAGGGTCTCTTGTATCCCAAGTTTACATGTCTTGAAAAAGCAAAGAACTTGATATGGTCATAACTCATGAGAAACAAGTGCAGTGTAAGTTCTTATTTTGCTTGTTACATGTAAGAATGTATACTTACGGTTCTGCCACCAGTCATCTGCTCAAGAATGTCTTGGATCTGACTTCCATTTGTATTCATGTCCAGTTCCACAGCTGTATAATTCACATTTATACTCTCAAAAAGCTTTTTTGCCATTATGCAGTAGGAGCATGTTGTTTTGGAGAAAATCACCACACAGTTGTCTGAAATAATCTCCTGTATGCTCAAAAGAATGTTGAAGTCACCATGTTTTGTTTTTAAGTCAGTGTATTTCAACAGTATCAAGCAGTCATGAAAACAAATGTAGAAGTTATAAATCTGCTATTACAGTAACAAATAATGGACAATTATTCTGTAAAAGGCCTTCTGAAGTATTTTTAGACAGGGACAACTGAGGAGTTCCCAGCCATGCTACAGCAATGGCTGGCTGTTTTTTAATTGTTTTCAAAACATATTTTTTACTCACTTTTTAAGGTAAAGTGAAAAGCTAGTTAATCTTCTAAATCTCCCCTAATTCTAATCTAGAGCCACAAGAATCTTAAGGTGAGGAATAAACTATTACTCTTTAAAAACAAGGAGCAGAACAGCAACTTCCTCTATCAAGGCATCTATTAAGATATCATCACCTGTATGGTGAGTGTAAAACATATCCACCCTACATCTGTTTTGAAGCCTCTGTGGTGGCCTAACACCTCCTTTAGGGATGCATCTGATACTTCTGCAACAGAAGAAAAATTGCTTCCTACCCGACTACTAAGAAAGTCAGGCTTTTAACCTCAAGTTCAGATGCTCTTGGCCAGATCCCAGAAAGTGTCTGCACAAGTGCAATAAGCAGCGAGATGCAACTTTAGCAGTTTGCAGAGCTACACAGAACATAAAAGTGACTTCTCTTGCTCCACTTGAGCTTTTCAGTTAAAGGTATGCTCTTTTCTTTTGAGTAGGGTACCAGGAATCAGTTAAAACTGATCAGTTTCTGACTTTCAGGAATGCTATGATCTTGTGGGAGCAGAGAAACAGAGGAGAGTTGACATTAATAATCGTTATGAGAAGCACTGCTGGCACTTGTGAAGCTGTGTCTGACCTGTACTTGACCCTGAAAGGGAGAAGAATGACTGAGACGCATGTGTTGTGATTGTCATGCAATGGTGCCAATCCTGAGCCCGTTTTAGCTCTGCAGTCACAGACCTCCTACAATCTGCCAAACAAGCTGTATCTCCTTGAACTATTTAGTACAGCTTTCCCTTTCCATCAGGCAAGCAGAATGTGCTGATGGCAAGCAGAATGACAAAAGGGATATTTCTTTTTTCCACCCCTGTGGAAATTGTACTTAATGCCCTACAGAGTATTCGTTCTCTTAAATTTGTGATCCTGCAATTTTCTTATAAACTGGCTATGAAGAGCAGTGGTTTGCGGTGAGTAGGCAACTAAGCTGAAGTCCAAGGATTGAACTTCCGACCAATTACACCTTTTTACTTTACTGTAAATTCAAAGTCATTTCAGGCCTTCATTTATTATCAGGAAGTTTACTCTAAAAAACAACTTACTTAATGACAGTCATTTTCCGAGACTTAGTCCCCAGTACTGATAGCACTACTGAATTAGAGTAGAGGTCTGCAAAAGATGTAAAATGGATGCAGCCTAGGAAGATAAAGTTCCAAGGCTGTGGATAAATAAATAATGCTAGCAGGCTTACTAAACATAAGAATCAGGTTGAACATATAGAACTATTTACAGAATTTCTTTATATAAATCAGAAGAGCTTTTAAGTAACTATGGCTTTCAGAAATGTTGAAAAAAAGAATTGCATTAATGATGTTACCTGTATTTGATTCACAGCGGCATCATTAGACAATCCCACGGTAGTCTGATCATTCCCCATTCTAAAACTAAAGAGAAATTAAAGTCGGATACTTGAGCTTTCAAACAAATGACACATTTTATATTTCACGAATTAAAGGTTGACTTTATACTGTTTTAACAGTCAATGTGATTTCTACATTATATGTGCCATTTTTCTGCAGCTGCAGTACCCACAGCCATGCTTGTTCTCACATGCCTACAAGATGATGAAGAGAGGGATGGTGCAGACTATAAAAATAACAAATACGGCTGTCTTGATAAGAAAAATGCTTCCCCCCCCCCCCCCCAGTGATAATACAGACACATGTGCCAAATCCGGCGCCGGGCTGTGCTCAGCCTCACCACCCGACTCTAAAGGAAAGGAACTCTCATTTTCATTAATAGAGCGGGCAGACGTGCTGCTCCGAGGCCTGCGCGCCCCGATACCGGCCGCCTCCCCGCGCTGCCACAGCCCGGGCGGCCCCGGTGCCTGCCGTTCCGGTGCAGGAGGGTTGCTCCTATGAGAGCGAGCGTCCAAAGGCCAAAAAGACTTAAAACAGGATCCGTACCAAGCCCAAGGTGCCGGGTAGACCTCCGGCCCCGCGGCTCCCGATCGCACCTACCGACTGACGGACCGCGCGACCTGCCCACACCCCAGCCCCGTCACCACCCGTCGCAACGCCCCCTGCAGGGCCATGGCCGCCAAGAGGAAGAGGCGGGACTTCTCCCCAGTCCTCACGGCGGTCCGTCACCGCTCGCAGGTCCCCGCACCGCCTCTTAGAGGCGTAGGGCTGCCCAGCAGGCTGCCGGTGTCCTGAGGCGCCGCTGGCCGGGGCACGCCCAGCGGCTGACGGGTCCTTCCAGTGAGGGTATAGAGCCGATAAATAATTTCTTAATCACTTTGTTGTGTGGTGTTTTAACGGCTTATTCTTGTCAGAATTAAATTGCGCCTTTGTGCTTGATAAAGCAGATATTTTCTTTTTTTATTTCCTCCCCTTTGTACCCAGGTTCGGGGTGTTTTTCTTTCTGATCTGCAGTCTGAAGTGCGTACACCGCCTTCTTGCGGGAGCTCCTGCCCAACTGTCTCGAGGCGCTACTGGCCCGGTGCCAGCAGCCAAGCGCTGCCTAGCCGGGGTGCGGGTGGCACAGGCGGGCTCCTGGGCTGCAGCTGCTAACGTGACGGCGAAAAGGCTTTATGCGCCTGCCCGACACGGCGGTGCGGTGTGGACTCTGCCCGTACTGGAACTGCAAGACACCAGCGGCCACGAACCGGTCGTGATCCCCTGCGCCACATGCAATCCCCCTCACGAAGATACGTGTGTACCCGCAGCCGCTAAGGCCGTGACGATGCTGCCACGCTGGGGCACCATGACCGCGAGGGGCGACGTCGCCCAGCGGCCGTTACGCTCCGGCTGCCCAGTGGAGGGCCGGTGTAGGCCCGGGGTGCAGAGTGGCCGGTTGTCAATGGCCTGTGCCATCGATGCCTTTGACTCTCTTTGCGCTCTGGCGGTAACAACCGAACCTCACCACTCTAAACCGCGTTCGGACCACAGTATTAGAAGCGGTGCGGGCGGGGCCTTAACCAAATCAGCCGGGTGCCACCCTGAGGGCGGGGTCGCGTCCCTCCATGGCAACCGGTTCGGCGTCGCCCCCTGGAGGCGGCGGAGGTAGTGGTGTTACTCAGGCGTTTACGGTAGGCAGCCTGGGTCCTGTCGGAGGGGTCTTTGCGCGGCTGGTAGAGGTGCCGGAGCGGCAGCGGCCGGTGGCTGCGGAGCGAAAATGGCGGACGTGCTGAGCGTGCTGCGGCAGTACAACACGCAGAAGAAAGAAATTGTGGTGAAGGGGGACGAGGTGATTTTCGGCGAGTTCTCCTGGCCCAAGAATGTCAAGACCAACTATGTCATCTGGGGGTGAGCGGCGGGGCCATGGCGGGCGGCTGCTCGCGCGGGGAAGAAACGGGCGGGGGGAGGAGGAAGAAGTTGCCCTGAAGTTGTGGGGGAGCGCCCGGGGAGCGGGGAGGTGGATCCTGCCTCCTGTTGTCTCCCGCCGCTTTGTAGGGAGCTGGGTGGGCGGGGGGTCTGGTTGCCACCTCTGGTAGGGCCCCTCGGGAGCTCACCGGAGCCGTGCGCTTCCGCTCCGCCTGGGCGCGGTGTCCCGGTGGGGTGTCCAGCGGCCTACTTCACTGGTGCCTTGCGCGTCGCGTAGGGCGATACCCTTCGCCTGTGCTGTTGGCAGCGCGGTAGGTCAGGGAGGTATCGCTGGTCCCTTCGGGAAGGTTCCCAGAACCCCGCCCGGTGCCCCTGCCCCGCGCCGGAAGAGCAGCGGGTCCGCGGTGCGGCATTGCCTTGGCTCTCGGCCTTTGCGTGCCACCTGGGGAGACTGAGGGTCGCAGCGGGGCTAGGTCTTGCGGGCTCATGCGACGAGATGGAAGGAAGTAGCTTCTCCAAGGTTTTTTTATCTGTATGCAAAATAGAGGTTATGTACTTACTGTTTTAGTTTATCTGGGGTATTTTTCATTTTCTGGAGCTTTACTCTGCTGTAGGAAAGTCAGTGAGGTCCAAATCGAGTCTCCCTATGTGGTCCCCTGCCAGCCTTGTTGTTGTTGCACCTGTGGAGGTGCACTGCTCCTCAGTTGCTCCGAGCTGCGGCTTCTTCCTGCACTGGACCTAATGCAAGCTGGTCTTATCATAATAAACAAGTAGAGAGAGCATTTTTGTTGGTTAAATGCTTATATTAGGTTAAATGCTTATTTTTAGAAAACTTCTAGAAAAGGAGACTTTGTACCTGTTGAATTTTCTGGTATGGTACGTATTGCTTGCAATGCAAGAGAGCTTTTAATTCTCCTTTCTTCTGAATTTCTTCTGAATTCTTCTGAATTGAAAACAAGCAGCTGTTTTTAATGTCCTAATAGAAGGATTCAATGAATCTCTTTTAAGCCTAAGAGAAAAAAAAAATACTTATTGTTAAGTGTCAGGTAGTGAATGTTTGAGATACTGATCAGTGTCCCGTCAAGCCTGATGGACAATCAGAAGAATCTGCAGATTTCACAAACAAAACCCCACCCTTCTACTTCGATCTATAATCAGGGATTGTTTTGTTTAGTTTTCATAGTTATGATAAGAATTTAAGTATTGATCCGGTATCCCAACTTTTAGCTTGAGGAAAAAAACCTTTTTGTCCGAGTTAACTTATGGACAGATTTATTGTAAGACTGATTTTACATTGCACTGTGCTTAAAACTAGGAATGTGCTATTTTATTATTTAGTTCAAGCTTTCAGAAACTCATTTTGGATTTATTTGCTTTTTCTGGTTGAGGGGTGAATACCAATAGCTAGACTGTAGAAGAAAAACATTTGGATAAGCAGTTAAGTTTTCAAATTCTTGAAAAGTCTTCTGGTTTTTGCTGAGCAACTGTATAGACAATTGTGATGGTTTCCTTGCTGCAAGTTGATTTTTCCAAAGCAGTAGTAAGTAATGGTTAACCAGAGAGACAAATTTCATTGCTCTTTTGTAGGGAAAGAGAAACAGGTACACCAGCCTAACTCTACTGCTGCAAAACAACAGCTGTAACCTCATAATATCTATGTCCTCAGCCTTTCCAGCAGATGTGTTGTAGGATTTGGACGTTTTTTGTTGTTTGGCTTGTGTGAAGTAAGTTAGTTAGCTACTCGGTTTAGACCAGTAGTGTCTGAACTTCTGGTAGTATCAGACCACTATCAATTTGCAGTGTTTCTTGTGAACTACCATGGAATTATTTGTGTCTAATTACATTGAAGACACTGCAAAAATGAGACCAGTTATGCAAGCCATACTCAGTAGCTTTAACACCACAGTTTAGAGGCTGTTAATTTATGTAATTTCCAGACTTATGCAGGGATTTATGAGGAACACTTCCAAAAACTTTTATATTCAGATCACTTGACAGGATCCAAACTGCGCTTGCACTGAGAAAGCTTAGTGGCTTAGTCTTTCATGAAGCAAATCTTGATTTCGCTTCTAGGTGTCAACAGTGTGGTTGCTGTAATTGCATCTCAGCTGCCAGTCTGGAGAGATTAATGCAAGTCCAAATGCCATGGTGGCATTCTGTCCCTGCTAGAATTAGTAGTCCCACTAGACATTTAAGACTGTGGCTCCTTAAGCAGCTAAGCTGGCAGAAGTCAGCAGCACTGCCTTCTTTCTGTGGTAGCACAAGTGTCAACCAAGCAGTGAATTGATCTGAGAAACAGAGCCAAGTTCAAAGTAACCCAGAGGGGAAGGGAAAAAAAAAAAGGCAGAAATTAAATTTAATCCAGGTTAGTCTCCAGATAATAATTGTATAAATGCTCTTGGTGGCACATGAAGGCTAGACAGTCTATGATTAGATGTTTTGTGTGTTTTGATCTAATGGTCCTTGAAGACTATATCGTCTGTTTCAAAACTAAAGGAAGCAATCGGTCTAACAGAGAAACTTTGCTTTGTTTACCCATTAGGTTTGTACAGCTGAGTTTTAAACCAGTGAGCAGCTGGTCATGGGTATACTAATTTACGTGATACTCTGCATGCCTAGTCTTGTATTTTTAAAGTTTACTGTCTCGTCCGTGAAAGAAAGCAGGCCTCTAGTACCTCTATAAAAATTCGTGCTTTGAAACATGAAAGAGGAAATAAAGCAGTTAGAAATGAACGGACTTCTGACACCCACAGGTTGAGGGGGAATGAATGAGCAGAAAACAGATTTGTGGTGTTAAAAACAAGCAGGTGAAACTCCTTCTTGCATTATGTAAACATTTTCTCCATTTTTTAAGCTGGAGTTTTGTTTGTTTAAGAGATGCAATTCTTAATAACTATTAAAGCAAAATTGTAACTACTGACTTCTTAGGGTCTGAATCTTAAGATTTTTTTTTTTTTTTTTTTTTGTCTTAAGTAAATAAGGCCATTACTGAATATAGGAAATAAGAGAATTAATTTCTTTGGCTACTTGAGACGTTTGTGAATTGAACAAAGCAATTGAACCTCTGGGCCAGGTTGCTTTTAGTTCTTTTTTGTTGAGAGGGTTCTTTATATCGGAAAATCTGAAAGGAGCTCAAATTTATGCTGAAATGTCAGCTTAGACTTAGATTTTCTCCTTGCATACAGCTGCTTGTCCAGCTGATGCTTTCCCTTTATTGTGCAATATCTTGTCCTCCTAATAAAGCATCCTCTTAGAACTGTAATGAGCATGGGGATTTCTTGTGTGTGTGTCTTAAGTGATGAAGTATCAGATGTGCCCTGCTGAGCTTTGGCAATGCCTATAGCTTTGTAATACTGTATTTTCAAATTAATAGATAATTGTTTAGTACTTATTTTCTGTTATGCCGTTTATTGCTAAATATTGCTAAAGCTTGAACAGATGACCAGCTGGACTTTTTATATAACGTTCAATGGATATGGCACACTTCAAAGAAATAATGAGTTATTCTGAAGTGTGACATTCTAAAATATTGGGTTTAAAATGAAGTGACAACTGTATCACATGACATAGGCTTCACTTCAGAGCCAAGTGTACGTGGACTAAACGTATGGTTTTACCAGTGCTCAGAGTATGTTTAGATATCACCTCATCAAAGATAGCAGTGAAACATAAAGATACTCAAACAGTTCCTTGCTGAGGAATCCAGTTCTGTTGGCTGTAATTGTGAGGACAACTTTTGGCTTCTTAGCGGTTGAGATACTATGTCTCTTCCCATTGCTCTTCAGCAAAAAACCATACATGCACACCCTACCCCTTGCAGCAAGTTTTGGAAGTTCTT